TAATTTCACAAAACCGGATTTATCAAAAAAAAATCTAATTTTGCAAAGCTCTTATAAAGCCATTAAAAACTTAAATTATCTAAAATCAATACTTGAAAAAATTCTATGAAGTTTTCTTTCAAATCACACTATTTAATTTACAAAAGAACCTTAAAATTGCGATAGATATGCGGTTGTGTACCTTGGAATCTGATTTTAATCCAAACTCACAACTAGTTCTTTCTAAGTATCAATTTTTGATAACTTGAAGAATTTTTTTTCTTTAATCTATTTTTAATTCTCTTTTAAACATGTCTATATCAAATTCTTATCTTATTTACATTGATTTAGCTCATTTATGCCTCTACAAATTAAATAAAATTTCTTTCTATAAAAGACAGCATTAAAACTAAATATTTTACTACCTTTCTATAAATTATTATTATTTTTCTATTATATCTTTTTAATAGGATATTTTATATTAACATCCATTTTATTTTTATTTTTCACCATATAGTCATATTATTACATAATAACAAAAGAATAAATTAAGGATTTTGAATTTTTCTTGTTGGATAAGATTTTTCAAGACTCAAATAAAATGCTTGTATAGTTTCTTCTAATGTCATTACCAAAAAACAATTGGAATACAAAAATACAAAAAAATACAATAATGCTAAAAAAAACATGGAACATTTAATAATTAAAAGAAAATTTGAAGCAATATATTCCACAATTAAATCTTAAACAAAAAAAAATGTATATAACAATATTGTAGCCTCCATAATAGAAGAACAAGGATGTATGTTTTTCTAAATAGACTTCCAAGAATTAGTAAAACATTTGTCTATAACACTTTGGTAATTAAAGTATCATTGATAAAATATTTTTGTAAATATACTATATCATTAAGAATTGCTGCATTCCTACTTGAAAGAGAAAGGACCACTTATTTTATGTTTAAGATTCTATTAATTCAGAATAATGACTCTTTTTGTTTAATTATTAAGAATTTCAACCAGGTTGAGTTTATTTGCCAAACTTTGTTTATTATTTGGAATAAACTTCTAATACAACATCATTATTATCCTAAGATAGTTGATTGTTCTATTAGAGATATTTAGAATAGTAATCACTCATATAAAGACCTATAATAGTTTTTGCTTGAGATTTTTGCTAAATATTGCCAATAATTGTGAAAAGAATTTAAGACAAAATTATAGCAGCATTTTTTTGACATTCAACACTTTGGCTTCAAATAAAAATCTATACATTAAAAAAAAAAAAAAAAAAAAAAAAAAAAAAAACTTGAGATTGAACTCATGACTACTTCAAACAGATATCAAGTTTGTTAATCGACTTCTTCAAGTATAAAATGTGTACATACATTTTACATATACATATTGGTATATTTGAATTCTTCATGGTTGTGATATTATTGAACAATATTTTTATTTGTCACTCGTTTGATTGAATATGGTACAAATTTCTTATCTAATAATATAGTTATGCTTCTTGTTCACATGATTGTTGATCAATAATTAATATCCTTAGTTGATATTATTTATCTAAGACTTGTAGAAGATAGTATTATAATTGATGCTTTTTAAGAAATAGAATCATTTTATCTATACTAAATGATGATATAGATGATATTAATGTCCATATTTTTTAAAGAAATTAGATAAATAACATCAATTAAGGACATTAGTTGTTAATTAATAATTATTATGGCCATATTTTCTAAAAATGAACAAGAATATCTAACCTTTTATAATATTATTATCAAAGATGGTTTCAATAATAATAATATTTATTTAGCCAAATCTATTAAGTTGTTTAATTTAGTTAAAATACCTAGATGAAGGCTTTATCTTAAGACTGAGATTTTAATGATGCTACTAAAACGTATTGCTCTTCATCAATAACTTTGCATTAGAATTCAATTGATAATTATAAAACTAATGGATTGAGTTCTCTAAGCAAGAATTCTTCAAAGAAAATTTGTTGGAAATATGGTATTTATACCATAATGTCGTATTGTAACACAACTATATAGTGAAAATATAATCAAAAATAAAATTCTAATTAATATCTAATCATTTTGGTTTAATAATAATTTAAGATATTTAAACATGGCTTTTATAAAAACATCTTAGTTTATTTTCTTATCTTAATAGCTAATAGATTAAAGATTGATTAGTAATTTTATCTTCTAGAATGTAGAAACTCTTTTATCGCCTTAGAAAGGCCATAAATTAATAAAACCAGCTTAAAAGAGATAAATAATTAGCATGGTTGATACTAAAATTAAATTAAGAGCAGGATTGGCCTAAAAAACCTCTAGGATATGTTAGATTGATATCTACATGTCGACCATTTGTAGAATAGGGCTAAAATCATTCCTCTAGCTACTAAAACAACTGCTTAGTATAAAGTATAGGAGCATTTAAAGATCATTAATTAGAATTGGTGAATTAGCTTTAGGTTGGTCCCAAAAATATAAAGCTTGTTTTCAAAGGATTTGGAATGACTTTGCAATTATTGTTCAAAGTCAAGATTTGTATTGGTAATTTGGAATTTATCCAATACAATTAGGGCTAGTACTCTCAGCTAAGTCATGCAATCAGTGTCACATCTATAATTTAAAATTTACTAATGCTTGGCTGATTAGATGTCTTAAGTGTGTGTAAAATTTTGTATTAATCTAATAGTGAAATTTAGAGATATCTCGATTTTGGTACAAGAGGATATTAAAAGTTGGCAATTTGGAGTTGGATAGGATTTTTATAATATCTAAAGATCTACTAGTCAGATCAAGGTGAAATTTAGCATAATAGTAGAAGACTTTAAGATTAAGCTACACATCAATTTTGAGTTGAAATTAATTGTTAGAGAAGGAAAAATTGCTTTTGGAACATTTGCATCAACTTTCAAGTTGGAGGCCAAGTGACATCAATACAGTTTTTGGACTTTTTTTCATAATTTATGAGTTAGATTGAACTAAATATTTTCAAGAATGTAAAAGGCTTATAGTAGTATTTGTTTGCAAATTTTGTATCAAGTAGACAATTAGGTTAGGAGTTACAGCTTGCTAAAATTCACTACTAGAGTTAGAGCTTGCAAGGAGAAATTATATTTGCATAATTATAAAAGTAATAAGGCAATTGGAATTTGTGTATAGATGAAGTTTCTAAGAAGAGTGTTTTTGAGCACTTTGTATTCGCTTTAAGCACTTTTGAATTAAAATTTGAATTACTTTATATTTTGATGGTTGAAACCTATTAAGCTTCATAGATAGTTGCAAAATACAACTTTATCTTTCACAACTAGGTGCTCCATACATTCTCAAGTAAGAATTTATATAATACAACAATGGATTATATTAACTTTTATAACAAAATTACTTCAATTCATTCTAAAAAAAAAAAAAAAAAAAAAAAAATCTAATCTATCTTATATTTGCAATAATAATAAATAAATTTCATGGACAATCAATGAAGCATGTTGGTTTGGATCTAAGACAATCTATCTTTTTCCTATGATCAACTTTATGTAGCATTCTCTTAATGCACTTCTTCTTGTTCTATCAAGATTCTTCTTCTTAGAAACAATAATTTAAATTCTATGTTAAATTTTTTTTAAAAAAATTAATTAGATAAATATTAATATTTTTATATTTTATATTTTATATTTTTAATTAATTTATTTATTGACTTTAGTACATCTTTAAATGACTTAACATACTTTTATGATTTTTAAGTATAATTTTAGGTTTTTTTATACTTTTATAAGTAATTCCTTAAAAAAAATTAATTATTTTTTTTGCATATTATCCATGATAATAGCATGGATTTACCTATTCTACTTCATAGCTGAAAGGTCCATTGTGTATTTTATTTCTTTCTAATTATATTGTATTATATTTGTGTTTGTAGACATACTATAGATATAAAAAGAGTGATTGTGAGATACTCAAAGGTCATTGGAGGGTGTAGATTTAATAATTTTATTAACAATATCCAATAAAATAATGTGTTAAAATTTGATTTTTAAAAACATATGTTTAACAATCTTTTAAAAGAATATATGACACTTAGAAGATTAAAAAAAAAATAGTATAATTCAAATAAAACCTCGTAATTTTTTATTTGATACTTGGACAAGAAATTTTATAGTGAACACACATAACAGAACAAATGCCCTATTAGCAGAAATGCATAAAAAGCCAGCATTTAAAAAAAATATTTACCATTTCAGAATCTGTGATGCATCCTTCTAAACTCCATTTCTTATTTGGTGTTTGATTTTTGATTTTTTTTAATAATAGTTAAATTTTTGGCATGAAATTTCTCCTCATAAATTTAAATGTGTGTTATGATGCACATGTTAGAAACATATAAATTTATGGTGATTGGAAGTAAAAAATAATTTTTTTAATTTATTTCATTTTAAAAATGTAGGTTTTATGTAACTTAGTCAATGACTTTTTATGAATTACAACCATTAATTGAACTTAAATATCATAATTTAAAAAATAAAAACCAAAAGATATCAAAGTCTGATTGGTGTTCATTTACATATAGAATAATATATAGTATTCTTTTTCAAACGTATTGATTGTGCCATTTCGCATAGAATACTACAATTGATTCAGAAACATTATAATGAAGTTGTTCATTTAATGCCATGAACTGTTCAGGCTTCAATTTTTAGTATTAATAGTTGTAGTACAAAAAGTGGGGAAAATACATCTTTAAAACCAATGCAACAGAAAAGGCCGTAAAATTTGGACACAAGCCTGGGGCACAACTTTTGCTTTTAATTTGGACAGAATATCTACTTGAACGAGAAAGTGAGATAATCGTATTCGATGCAATGTAATCCCGCTTAAGGATGAAACGAGAGGATGACAGTGCTACCGTGCATGCGGATGAATGAAGTTACTCAGCGAAGTCCGGCCGAGCATGGATGCACCTCGAGCGGCTCCTGAGAAGGAAACCGAACCCATTGGCCGAAGAAATCGAGTTCGGACCTCGGAAAGGGGGGAATGCCACCAATTACCCTCGAAACTCTGCAGTAAACGGGCGGGAAGGGCAGACTCCCAGCTTCTATCGATGCCGACGCCTCGTGTCTGGAGTGAGGAGAAGGAATGGTCATGTGAATGGTGCTCTCTATTCGGCTCTCCATGTATGCTTCTTCCCTTGCCAGACATATTCTGCGACAACCAATTCCCGCTCTTGTCTCTGGTACAATCTCCCGTGATGCGGCGGCCATGTCCAGATCAACGCTGTGGCTGCAGTCTCGGAATCCATTCTTGTTCTGTCTCATTTGGTGAGAGTTTTGTCGCTTGGTCGCAGGAGATAATTCTCGAATCTTTCTTGGGATGGTTACGGTGACAAAAATTCAGCGATGACGGCTACAACTAGATAGGTTGAAATTCGATTTGCCTACGTCGTTGTTGTCTCTGAGACGGTTAGAATTGAGTAGTGTACTAGTAGAGAGTGTCTTGGCTTTTGTAACGAAAATCTCGTCAAAGAGTTAAAAACAGAGTGAATGATGGGATCATTATCTCGCGACTCAATCGAGAAGTCAAGGAATATGTGTGATGGTTTGTTTTGATAGCATTGTTGTTATTATGTGTTCGTGCTCAAGCTGTTCACCTAATGTGTTTAGTCTAGAGCCAATTGCTGTCGCGTGTTACAGACATGTCTAAGCTTAAAAGAATGCCCGTGTCAAGTCCTGAAGCACTAACTATCAATGCAAAGGTGTCGATGGCAATAATTAGAGGAGCTTTTTCGCCTCCATGTGAAACACTAGACGGACGGGGTGTTTGTGCAGAAGTTTTTCTATGAAAAGATATACGTTGGAACATGGTTTTTGTGCCATTAATTCGAGAGGAGTTTGTTACACAGTGTTAATTTGCTGCTGGAAATTAGTCGAGGTGGTACTTGGTGGCAAAAGGTTTGTTGCTTGCTTTCGACCCCGCTCACCCTGTGACGCAGTTCTGATTTCCCCTGTTGTGCATGATAATACTCCGGGTTTGAAATCATCTAGCTCGTTTTTTAGGCTATGTGCCGTACTTGACCTTCTCCATCATTGAATACTAAGGCTTGCTGTTACTACGGTAGGAGCAAAGCAATCGAAGAGCAGCAGACACGAAAGCCTTGGAGGTCAAGTGGCACAACGAGAGAAGTTCCCTAAACCTCAAAATCCTCTGGGAAAAATCTCAGACCGACCATTGTCCAATTGGCGAAGTGATCTATACCATCCTCAGCATTCAGGGAGTGAAAATCTCATCATTTCAAAATCTAGCAACAATTCTAACCTACACTTAAATTATGCTTTCACACATCTCGGATTCTTCAATTGAAAATGATCATTTCAAAGCAGAGCTTCGAGTAGCGCACTGTACGCCGAGATAGGGGTTGGTTTAATTTTTTATTCTGTTGTTGGAGATAATCCAGAAATAGATTTTAGAGGCGTAGGAATAACGGCCTTGCTGGTGAACTCGTTCTTGATTAGTATCTAATACTCAGTGGTCCTCGTTTCCGCAGTTATTTCTTGCGTGGGTTTCGAGATCGTTGGACGAGTTCTCAGACTGTATACAGTTCTTGACGAACTTGTGCGTTGAGAATATGTTTATGCAGTAACTACTGCAAGTACATATCAATTGAAGGGCTTCAAAGACACAATCCTTAGGACTTAGTGGCGCAATGAGAGGCGAATACTAAATCACGTAATCTCCCAGGTTTTAGGGTCCAAGATCCGCATTTATTGAACCATGATTTAATTTAGGCTACCATTGTTTTCAAATAACTCTAATTTTAGAACAAATTCATGACACTCAGGTGGCTCTCGAATTTCAGCATCCCACCCTGAAAAAAATTACGATTTGCAGCTCGGTGGGTCGATTGAAATGGATTCTACAACATGTGGCAATGCTCAATCTCAACGGCGTCTCAAAAGAAGACTTATGGGCCTCAGCCACAAAGACAGCTACGCGACGAGTGGCAATTGTTCACGTCCTCACGCACCATTCAACAGTACTTCCTTCTTAATTGAGCTCCACGATCGCCAGGAAGAAGCAGCATTCACAACAAGTTTAAATTTCGACCAGTATGGCTCCATGGTGAAGATAATGGCGAGCTCCATGGCATTCTCAGCTGCATGTTGTCCTTCCAGTGCAGAGAACCATCGGTATCAACACTGTTCCAACCATTCTCGGGCTCGTCAGCATTCCACTCTAGCGAATTCCAGAAAACATTCCAACTTGCTAATTCACCCACACACATCTCGAAACTCGGATGATTTACGAAAACATAGTTCTGTGAGTGATGCCTTACCATCAACAACAACAAGACTGTAGCATCGAATCTGGCGAGTCGTCGGCAGCACATCGAGCAAGTGGCATACGCGGACAACAATTTCGAAGGTCCTTTTTGGACAACAAATTTGATACTCTGCACTAAAACGCAAGTCGTCCGATCTTTAAGGATTTCAAAGAATTCTGTTTTTTTCTTTTTTCAAAATTTTCTTGTTATCTATTCCATGGGAGCCTACGATGCTTCTAAACTCTACAATCACTCATTTCATCATCTCTCCCGGAATGAAACATGTACATTGCACACATACAATGCTGGTTGCAGTTGCTTCTGTATTTGTAGCAATATACGATCCGGACAGATCATGAGACGTTGAATCCGTACAGCTATCGTGTCATATTTTATATGAAATTTGAAGGTAGAGTATTATGGATGTAAATAATGGATTACCAATCCAGCGAGGGGAGTAAATGCCATTTTATAGTGTATTTGAAGTGATTTTATCACGTACTTCGAGGATTTTTTCTGGACACTAGCGTTTTGACAGTTAAATGTGCACACTTATAGAGCAAGAGAAACGGAGGACGTAGCATCGAGGCAAAGGCATCATTCTAGATAGCTCTGGTCCTCCTTAGTGTTAGTCAAGTTGGGTCGGGTTTGAAGAATGTGAAAGTCAACCTCTTCATTATTCCGGGGATGTCTGTGAGCACTGTTTGTGTTCAGTCTTGAAGGGCTGACAAAGGTTCTAAAGCCCCTGTTTCCAGTGTTCTTTACCTTTCTTTGTTGCTTCTAAAACCAATGTGCATTCTGATACGAGTTAGAGACTGTCAACATATTAACACTGAATACAATTAGATGAATCTATACCTGAACTGTAGCCCATGCCAAAGATCCTCATGTTGTCAATGCCAAACAAAAAAATCTTCTTGTGTTTGTGTCTGTGTTTTGTGATGAGTACGGGGAATGCAGGCCACAATAAACTTTTTTTTTACCACAAAACACTTCTTTATTTAAAAAATCTAAAATAAGTTCATGTTGTGCTGCTACCACCTCTAGATAATGGTAAATGTGTTTTCCATTTTAAAAAAATATTATCTATTATCCACGTGTAATTATTCATTCTATTCTTCTTAGATTTGATTTGAAGATATGTCATGGTCAGTCATAAAAATATCTGCCGACCTTTATTTTTCCACACCATAGTCCCACACCCATCCATCTATCCATCCATCACTCTGATGCTTCAGTTGGGGTGGACCCTACGTTGCGTCGATCCTCCTGCCACGGTTGTTGCTTTTGAACTGGCTTCTGGTGTCTGTGGGGCTGTCGTCTTCTCCACTTCATGCACGGAGTTTTGCTGGGGTGCAGTTGGTTGGGCATACGGCGAGGCCATTTGATGCACAAAGCGCTTCTACCCAACTTAGAAATCTCCAGTGAGGGGCTCAGGTGCGGTGGATTTCCCGGAGCTGATACTCTGAGCTTTGGTTTGAATGTGATACCGCTGGTGCTTTTGGGGTGACGGTTTTGTAGCATTCTGTGTGTGCGTTTCTGAAGGTTTTGTTGCCATTATGATCAACGTGTGGCAATGAGGACTGAGTGGGAAATCTTGGAATGTGGATTCCTTTGTTTCGACTAACGGGGCCGTTCGATTTGGAGCGCAACAACTTCATCGCGTGCGCTCTTCAATTAGTTGGTGGATTCCGGTTTCATAGGATTCCCCCCTTCACTTCTTGCTTCAATTCAGTTGTGGGTGAACGTGATGGTCAAAATTTTTGGGATATCGCAGGTGCATTGTAAGTGGAGGAAGCAGATATGGGTACCACGGTCTCTTACTTGAGAGGGACGGTTGGACCGAGTGGTTACAGCTCCAACTCTACAGCTGAGGATGTGACTGCCAATTTGGACTTGAGCTCAAAGACGATCATTGTGACTGGTACTCGTTTTTCCATTGCACTAATTTCATCGTAGGGTTCCATGCTAGTGCAATGAGGCGAGTCTGTCTTTTTGATACACCGTGCTACAAGTTTAATTTAAAGGCGGGATCCTGTACTGGGGGAATTTTTTGCAGGGGCCACGTCAGGAATAGGAAAAGAATCTGCGAGGGTTTTGGCCAAAAGGGGTGCTCATGTAATACTTGCGGTCCGGAACGTGAAGGTTGGCGAGGCAGTTTGTACTGAAATACTCAAAGAAACTCCAACAGCTCGTCTGGATGCCATGCATTTGGATCTGAATTCGCTGATATCGGTTCGTGAATTTGCAGCAAATTTCAGAGCTCGAAATCTTCCTCTTCATATTCTCCTGTGAGTATTTAAAAGCCAATTTACCTTTAAGGGTAGTAGGAGTATCGTCCACCAGACGCTGGTTTGTTCTCCGCAAGGTTTCGCGTGAACAAGTTAATTTTTGCTAAAGACTTCTTATCGCGTAAAGACGAATCGTCATCAAGTTTTCATCAAGAGTAACGCGTTCAGCTAATTCGGTGTTTTCATATATGAGTAGTTTTAATAGACACTGAATCCTTTAATCGGCGGTGTCTCTGGCTATTCTGAAGATTACTAGGTATCCTCTTAGTAGCAAGTTGACAATTGGTCATTGTTTCACTTGCAAAAATCATAGAGCTCAAGCTTCGGGATTTTTGAAGTTGTTTCTTGTGATTTCTGCAGCAATAATGCAGGACTACTCAACCTGAAGTTTCAGCTCTCTGAGGACGGTATCGAGCATACGTTTGCTACCAACCACCTTGGCAAGTCCCATATGCCAATTTAAATAGCTGTCACGTATGTTTGAAGCCATGTTCTGCATATATGATTCAATATCGTTCATGAATATTTTTTTATCAACTTCTTGTATATCATATTTCGTAACTCCTTTTCTTCCCAACTTTGTGTGAAACTCTACGGAGGGATGGATTTACCAGACAACCTTTAATAGATTCGTCTACTGATTTTAGTCGCACAATTGAGCCTGCAGGTCACTTTCTTCTGACCAATCTTCTTGTTGACATCATGAAAGCTACTGCTAAGGAGTGTGGTGAAGAGGGCCGCATTGTAAATGTGTCATCACTTGCGCATACAATGACCTACAGGAATCATAACCTAGAGGAAATCAACAATCCGAAAAGGTTAGATTTAATCAGCGTGTATTTAGAAAGCACATTCTTGTACGTTTTGTACAACTTGCGCTGGTACTGGCACTGACCCTGAGGATTCTCGACTTTTGAACTTCACATCACTTCGCTAATGGATCATCCTACCTATTTGTTTTAGCTGAAATTGAGCATGATTAAACCCCCAGCAGCAGTGGAATTATAGGTTAATGTATAGTCCACAAGATTACTATTTGTTTCGTATTTTCCAGATTATCCTGTTTTTGAACGAATGACGCCGTTTCCTATACAGGTACGTGGGTTACCAAGCATATGGTCAGTCAAAGCTGGCTAATATTCTACATGCAAAAGAGCTTGCTCATCGTCTCCAGGTATGCCCATGCACTCCACGAATATATATATATATATATATATATATATATATATATATATATATGATACATCTCATGTGTGCAAATTCATTTTTAGATAACGCTAAGTAAAGGTTAGCGAAGTTGTGAATTCCTTCCGAGTAAACGGTCATTTTTGGCTATCTCATAACCTGTAATAGTTGTTGTCAGAAGCTTTTAGTCAACCTCTAGAATCCCTTGGTGCAATAACTTGCGAATGTGCGCAAATCTACTGCTACGCTGCTTCAGGGTGTCAGAAGTGGCGGATGATATTTCTTTGCTCATGGAACATATGCTTTTTTCTGATTATCAGGAGGAGAGTGCAAATGTTACTGCCAATGCACTCCATCCGGGCACCATGGATACTAACTTTGGTAAAAATAATGCATTATTCAAGTATGGTGTAGGTATTTGATCAGAACCTGATGGCCCTTCATTTTAAGAAATTGTTTGGCTCAGCCGACTTCAGAAAGGCGTAGATTTACTTAATAGTTACTTGGACGGTGAAAGCATTGCAGTTTTTGAATGAAAAGATCGTAATGAACCATTTGATTTGTGCTATCCTTTCAAGGAAGACGAGCATGATAACTATTTTATCAACTTATCTGAACTGATGCTCATGATACAATAGTTAACCAAGTGATATGCTTGCAGATATAAGTGATGTATTTATAACGTTTATCTTAATGACTTTTTGAAATGATTTGTTGCAGGTATTTTCTTTACTATAGGTAGCAAATTATTGAAGACAATCCCGCAGGTAAATCAAGTTGGCATTTTGCCAATTTTTGCACGTCGCTATATGTGCAAATTATTACAACAGGCTTTGCCCCATTTAATCATACTTCGCTCATTAATCATGTCTGATATCTAATGCTCCTCAATTGCATGTCTTTTCCAGGCAGCTGCTACGTCATTGTATGTGGCAACAAATCCTAACCTCAATGGAATCAGCGGAAAGTATTTTTCTGATTGCAATGAATATACGCCAGAGCTGGCTGCTGCTAGCGACATGGAACTTGCTACCAGGTATTGGAAGTTCAGTGAGGAGCTTATTGCATCCAAGTCCAGTGGACAAGTGACAAGCTAAGGACACTTCTTGAGGCTTGGCATTATTTTCGTAAAATTGTTCCCACATTGGCAACGAATATCGCAATGCAGTTGCTACTCTCGGGTGTTTACAAACCGTCTGTACAGCCCCTCTCTCCATCATCGCTCGGATGCTGATTAGGAGAGCCAAATTTAGAAAAGAGGTAGTTCTTTTAGTTGCTCGATTATTCTTAAACTTTGTCTAAAAGAACTCATCGGTTAGTCGATTCTGAGAGCTGTATGGATGTGTAAAAGCTTTTGGACATAAAAAGAATATATCTTTTTAATGCTTTTAAAGCTTTGCAATGTCATTTTGTATATTGTCACTGATTGTTCCATGAATGTATATTGCAGTTGTTATAGGTGTTTCTAATTTAAGTATTGTAACATTTAATAGAGTTTATTAGTTTTTTTTTGTGTTGTGCTATTGTGATCCTCCAAGAATGCCTTCAAGAATATTACCATATTTGCTAAAATAATAATACCTTGGAATATAATAAACAATCTACAATATTAAAGATAAAAAATTTCATGTAATACTAAATATTATGGATAGAATATTTAGGTTTTGAAGTTAAATATTTATATTTAGCTTTTAGTATATTCATTTGTTAAAATAAAATTTCTTGTAAACTTTTACTTGTATAATGCCTATTTGGTAAGTTAGAAGACTTTTTGTTCTATATAATTTTATTTATTATTGTCACAGAAAAAATTAGTTTGAATTTCTAAGATTTTTTTTGCCTAATGTTATCATTTGAATAATAAGTGTTTCTTTGCGAACTAAAATCTAAGAACCTCCAATAATAACTACACCTTAAAACTATTAAATTTTGTTTATTCAAATTTTCTTTTTAGAAATATAAAAATATATTTTTTAATTATAAAATGATAATAAATAATCACTAGGTCTACCACAAAGAACAAAGAAGTAATGCTATATGGTACAATTAGTTTTCTCTACATAATTGATGCAATCTAATTTCATAGTTATTACATTGCTTAGACCAATTGCCTACAAATCTTTACTGAATTGCATTATATTTCCATCTATTCTAATGTTTTAAGCCAAAAAAATATAATATTAGTGTGTTTCCATCATTTTTGACTTTTTTTTCAAGCTTGCTTTTAAAATCAAAAATTTACTAAAAATAATGATTATGTTGTATTAGTTCATTTAATTAATGACTGGTTTTTATTATTTAAAACCATATTAAGATATAAAATTATAATAATCTAAGATGTTATAAAACAAAATACATCCAATTTATCTAATACAATTTTCAAGTTTTAGAAAGTTACACAATAAATGTTTTAAAAACATATTCTCAAAACTATCAAAGTTGGCAGTATTATAAAATAATTATATTTAAAAAGAAGGTATGATTTTGTTAGTTTTTCTAATTTTCTCAATATATATAATAAAAACAAACAAGACAATACAGATCGTAATTAAATAATAAAATATCACAATATTACTTTGTCAAATTAAATTTATTTTCTAATATAGTCAAATCTAATTATAATGCTATTTTAAATTTAAAGTCCTTTTAAAAATGAATGTACTTAGTGAAACTATAAAAAATATATTATTATTATTATTATTATTATTATTTTGAATAATTATTTTAAAAAAATTAAATTAAATGAATCTCAACAACAAATACCTTCATAACCAACAAGTTTGTTTTTATAATATTTTTGTATTATATTTTTCAAAAGTTTTTAACATAATTAAAACTATATACTAATTTTATAAAAAAATATTGAGATTTGAAAAATTAACTAATAAGTTTATAAAATTAGAGTAAGATAAAAATAATAATAATATCTTTTAAGATAGTTTTTTAATTTATAAAGCTATTAAGATAAATTAAACTTAAGATCAAAACAAATTTCTACAAAAAAAGATGTGTTGAATCTTATTTACAAACTTTTTAATTTTGAAACATAAAAAAAACATTGAATCCTAAGAGTAAAATAAAAAAATCAATTGGTTTTTCAACCTTGCCAAGCTTGAGAAATGCCATTAATTGTGTATTCTCAAAGAAGATATCTTTACTAATTCATTTGATAAGCTTGTCAATCTTAAACAACTACTCAAAATAAATGTTGTCAAAGAAAAAATAATTGCCAAATCATTTGATAAGCTAGTCAATAAGCAAAAACTCAAGTTAAATGTTGTCAAAGAAGAAAAATTTGTCAATTCATTTAGCAACCTTGTGTCAAGGATAGGAACTCGATGAAAAAGCAATTCAGACAAGTGAACCTTCACTCAAAGAAAGGTAAATAAATATAAATAAATAAGCATGTATATTGAAAGAGAAACTAGAATAGCTATTGCCAAAAGACAAGAAAACAAGAGACCCTTGAAACTAGACTCGAAGCAAGAAAGGAGTTGACAAGAGTGAAGAAGGCTTCACTCTTGTCTCTATATATACTATCTAACTAGGGGCTACATGGCGACGTTCTATAGGACCTCTAATATAAGTTGACTTTATAAGACACATGCCTTGACTTACAAGGCAAGTTTTTCTACGTGTGGACCACATAGTTAGCTTGATCTTCAAGCTAACAACATGTGTGGCACATGACCAACTTGTAGATGACGTTTCTAATCCAAAAAGTCAATTAAATACACCTATGAAGTCAAAGCAGCGTCTATAAAGCTTCTAAGAAGCTTCCATATTAAATACTATAGAATTAACTTACTTTTACCTACTTTTACTTACTTCCACTTATTTGTATATGTAATTATTAGATTACATCATTATGTCCATGACATTACCCTCCCTTCTAGGGACGAGTTCCACGAGGAGCAGTCATCATATGTTGAGGAAATCTATGATGCGACAAATTGTATTTGCCACATATTCTGATCTTTGTTCTCTTCAAAGATGATTGATAGGGCCTTTCAACCATCGGTAGTGTCCCATACCAGGGCAAGAAGACCACCCAATTATTTGATCATTGTTAAGGCCTTCATAACTTCCTTCGAATAGAACATTTAGAACACCATCAGGAGTTGTTCCTACCTCTAGCAAAATCACCAAACATCGGGAGTCCCTTCCCAAATCATGACACCAAACGCATTGTATCTCGCCATCTATTCGAGGAAGAACATGTCGTTCTTGAAGATCTTCATCTTAATTGTGTAGTCTTGAAGGTTGTGACAATCGTAATGTCTCCTCCGATAGGTCAACAAATAAAGGTTCTTGAGTCTAATCCGTTGGTTGTTGGTTCTCCATCTCCTGAGCGTCACAACTACAAAGAAGCTACGAACAAGGATTGAAAGTAGAATGTTATCTTGCCTAGATGTTGTTTCTTTTATAAAGAAGGTTTTCATCTTGATTTTGATGGATGTCGTCGATGAAAAGCCTCCATCGCCTTTGTTGCATTTGCAAGATTCTTTATTGGCTCCTATGTACGTTCACTAATATCATATCCGTGCCAATGGACAAGATATTCTAATTTATTTCGATGCTGCCTTGAATCTAAGACTTCTTCTACTTCAAACTCTTCATTATTCTCCACTTCTATAGGAGGAGGTGGAGCTTGTCGTCTTCTTGGTATGTCCACTGTCTTGTATGGTTCAAGAAGAGATACGTGGAATACTGGATGGATTTTCATTGACTCCAGTAGATGTAAACGATATACAACTGGATTGATTTGTACAAAAATAGAAAATGGTCCAAACCTTCGATAGTCCAACTTGTCACAAAGACGAGTGGTCTTGATATTGTGATGAAGTAGCCATACCTTATCACCCAAGAAGAATGGTGGTTGTTCCTTTCGATAGACATCCGCATTAACTTTTTGTTGTTCTTAAGCCTCTTTTAAGTGCGCCTTCAACATTGCATGTAGCTCTGATAAATGAATCGCCAAATCTTTTGTACTAAGATTATCAACTTTTGAAAAGTCAAAAGTATCAAGTCGTCGATGATAACCATAATTAGTAAAAAAAGGTCTTTGTTTTATAGAAGAATGTATCGTGTTATTGTAAGCAAACTCTGCCAATGGCAAAAGAGTTGTCCAATCATCTTGTTGGTAGTTAATGATACATCTTAAATATGACTCCAAAACTTGATTAACACGCTCCGTTTGTCTATCAGTTTGAGGATGGAATGCCGAAGATAGTTTTATATCCACTTTTAGAATCTTGAAAAGAGTCCGCCAAAATCTTGATACAAATTGAGTTCCTCTATCTGATATAATATCCTTGATTAATCCATGATAGCAATAGATATTGTCAAGAAAGAGCTTAGCTGTTCCTTCACCTGTGATAAATTTTGTACATGGTACAAAATGTGCCATCTTGGTAAAATGATCTACTATCACGAATATAGAGTCATAAGAACCTGAGATTGGAAGATCCGTGATGAAGTCCATAGAAACAGAAGACCATGCTTGTTCTGGAATGGGTAATGGCTGAAGAAGTCCAAAAGGTCGATGACGAGGGGTTTTCGATCTTGAGCAAAGATCACATGATTGTACAAAATCTTTGATTGCCTTCCACATTTGAGGCCACCAAAAATCCTTAGATATCAGCTCCAAAGTCTTATTATATCCAAAATATCCTGCTATTGGGAAGTCGTGACGAGCTTGAAGAATACGTAAATGTGCTTCTCTTTTTGGAACATATAGGCGTCTTTCAAAATAGAGTAGATTGTTCTTGAATTCAAATTTAGAGGAATCATGAGATTTAGAAGAATTATTCTTAATATCATGAACAAGAGAGTCTGAAGACATACTTAACTGGACTTGCTTAAGAAAAGTTAAATCAACAGTCAATGTTGATTTTATTGCTTGAAGATGAAATTGCTCCGACTTTAAGAGAATCGTTCTTTGTTACTCAAAAGCTGCATCTCCTTCTTTTGGTGCAAGATAAGAACATCTAGACAAGGCATCAGACAAACCTTGTTGTTTCTCTGGCCGATAAGTGATGATGAACTCGAATCTTAATAAAGACATGTTCTAACGAGCTTGATGATGATTTAATACAAGTGCTGACATAAAATACTGGAGGTTCTTGTGATCCGTATACATGGTGACTGGACTGGAAGTGCCTTCTAGATAATGATGCCATTCTTGAAAAGAATCCACAATTGCAAGAAGTTCTTTGTCATGGATCTCATAATTGATTTCTACTGCTGAGAATTTTCTTGCATGAAAGGCTACTAGATAATTTTGTCATCTGTTCCCATTTGTGATAAAACCGCATCCAGAGCAAAGTCTGATGCATCTATTTCCATAAAGAATGCATTGGAAAAATCAACACGATACAAGATTGGTGTAGAAACAAACGCTTTCTTTAAAGATTCAAAAGCAACTTCCGCTTCTTGATTCTATTGGAGTTTGTCTTTATTAGTCAAATGTATAAGTGGAGTTGCAACTCAAGAGAAGTCCTTGATGAAGATCCAATAGTAGTTGGCAAATTCCAAAAAGCATTGGACATCTCTTACCGTTTTTGGGATCTTCGAATCTATAATAGTTTGAACTTTCTTAGGACCCATCATAAGTTACATCATGTAACTTAAGAAATCGACTTGAGTAGTGTATAATATACACTTTTCTATCTTGGCATAGAGTCTTGCATCTCTTAATTTTTGTAACACACGACAAACATGAAGTTCATATTCTTCTAAATTCCTAGAATAGATCAAGATGTCGTCTAGATCACAGACCATAAAATCATCCAAAAACTCTCAAAAAATATCATTCATTAGATGTTGAAAAGCTGCTGGTGCATTTGTAAGTCCAAAAGGCATGACGTTGTATTCAAAATGTCCATACCAAGTTCGAAACATAGTCTTCCATTCATCTCCTTCTTTGATGCGTACTAGATTGTATGCTCCCCAGAGATCTATTTTTGTATAGATCTTAGCTTGATTCAGCTGATCAAGAAGTCCAAATATTAAAGGTAGTGGATACCTGTTCTTGATGGTAATCTTGTTGAGTCCTCGATAATCAACACACATCTGCAATGATCTATCTTTTTTCTTCACAAATAGAATTGGAGCTCTTGTGGGAGATTTAGAATGGCATATGAAATTCTTGGCTAGATTTTCTTCAATATACTCCTTGAGTTCAGTGAACTCATTTTGTGATAAACTGTAAATTGATCCAAATGGCGGTTGTGCTCTTTCTTGAAGGTCAATTGAGCAATCATAGGGAGGATGTTCTGGAAGTGTATCCGTATTTTTTTTGGAATACATCTTGAAATTCTTGATATTGGCTTGGAATGCCACTTGAAGTCTTTCCACCAGTAGAAACAAGTGTGGCATAAATAATATATAGTGATTCTTTCATAGCAGCATGCAAGAAAGCTTTTACACCTATAAATATGGATTTAATTGAACTAGACTTATGACTCTCTACTTGATTAACTACAGTGTTAGTTATACTTTTAAAGAAAGTAAGAATTCGGGAAATCCAATCTATTTGAAGGTTGTATTTTTCTAACCACGATAAACCTAAAATGACTAGATTAGAAGGAGATCTAATGATATTAAATACTACAAAGCTATTATGACCATTGATCATTACTTCTATAGGAAGGATTTCCTGAGTAATATCTCTAGAAGACAATGGACGACCATCTATGACTTCTACATGAACAGGTTTAGTTTTCTTTACTAAAGATATGCTATGTTTTTTAGTAAATTCTTCATCTAAGAAACATGCTGAGGCTTTTGAATCTACCAAGGCAGCGGCTTTGTAATGTTTAGGTCCTAAAATAACATTTAATGTAAAACCAGGAGAGGGCTCTCAGGAGAGAATAGGACCTTTACTAGATGTTGTGCAAGGTTCCAGCCGCACGGTCCCTATTGTAGCTGGACAAACTCATTTTTCGACATATTGTCTTCTTTCACAGCCATACTCCTCATTTTGTGATTGCATCGCTTTTTTGGACAATGTTGAGCAATGTGGTTTGGTTCTCCATAATATAAACATAATCCTTCTTGACGACGATGACTCTTTTCTTGCTGAGTAAGAGATTTGAAACGTACTGCATCAATTTACATATCCTCTACTTCTGAATGTATGTGTTGAAGAGGTGTTGGTGTTGCCATTGAATTATAGTAACATTGAGGTCCACTTGTACGGTTCTCAGATCGAAATTCAAAAAGGCAATTGTCATACTTCACAACAAAATCAATTGCTTGACTCAATGTTTGAGGATCAGGTAAGTTCAGCATTAACTTTTTTACCTCATATTGTAATCCGTAGAGAAATTGGCTAATAAATGCAGCATCATCCCACTTGATATCAGTTACAAGTTGTCAAAATTGTGAAGCGTACAACATTACTGATTGATTGTTTTATCGTAAAATACGGATCTTATTGGTTGTAACACGAATTGCATCATGTTCTCCATACATGGATCAAAACTCTACCAGAAAAGCCTCTAGATTATCCAATATTGGATCTCGTCATTCAAAAAAAGATGAAAACTACGATAGTGCTGAACCTGAAAGAAGCATACCAATGAATCTGACTTGCGATCCTGGAGTTGGATAGCTTTGGGATTCAAGTTCAATCACAAGTTGTACTTAATTGATAAATCCTCAAAACTTGGATCTGGTGCCATCAAACTTCTCGGATAGGGCAATTCTTGGTTCTCTAATACTGGAAGGGCATTCTACCATAAGAAAAGGGACATGGTTTGGTCCAAATGTTGAAGCAGCTCCAACCATTTCTATATCTTCACTTCCTACCAATCTTGTTGCTTCTTGTGGTGGTAAATTGAGTTGATGCATCGCAAGCATTAACTCCCTTAATTGCTCTTACATTTGTGCCATTGCACTCTTCATTTCAACAAGTTCTGCCATGATAACACATAGAAAAGAGAAGATGTCTAATATCACTCAAGACAAATAGAAGAAAGGACTTGAGAACAAAGAAAATACTAAGGACAATATTAGTTTAGAAGAGGGTAATCCGTAACTTCTAATATGCTTATATCTTATCAAGAAAAAGAGATAATCCACTCTTAATCAAGCTTAGACAAAGCTCTGATATTGTAGATGTATTCTTGTCAATCTGTCAAGGACAAGAACTCGATGAAAAAGCAATTCACTCAAGTGAGCATTCACTAAAAGAAAGGTAAAAAAATATAAATAAACAAGTATGTATATTGAAAGAGAAACTGGAATGGCTATTGCCAAAAGACAAGAAAACTAGAGACCCTTGAAACTAGACTCGAAGCAAGAAAGGAGTTGACAAGAGTGAAGAAGGCTTCACTCTTGTCTCTATATATACTATCTAACTTGGGGCTACATGGCGACATTCTATAGGACCTCCAATATGTGTTGACTTTGTAGGACACATGCCTTGACTTACAAGGCAAGTTTTTCTACGTGTGGACCACATAGTTAGCTTGATCTTCAAGCTAACAACATGTGTGGTACATGGCCAACTTGTTGACCACGTTTTTAATCCAAAAAGTCAATTAAAGACACCTATGAAGTCAAAGCAGCATTTATGAAGCTTCTAGGAAGCTTTCATATTAAATACTATAGAATTAATTTACTTTTATCTACTTTTACTTACTTCCACCTATTTGTATATGTAATTACTAGCTTACATGAGTATGTCTGTGACACCTTGTTAAGCTTGAGCAACCACTCAAATCAAGTATTGGTATAGAAGAGAAATTTGCCAAACAATTTAGTAAGCTTGAGCAATTTTCTCATATCAAGTATTGTCAAAAAAGATAGATTTGCCAATTCATTTGGCAAGCTGGTCAAGTTTGAGCAACCACTCAAATCAAGTGTTTTTAAAAAAATTAAGTTTGTGAATTCATTTGGAACTATTTTAAATTTGTGCTATTATCTAAGTTCAAGTTTGTTAAAGATTTAGGATTTTTAATGTCTTTTGGTAATATTGTAGATTTATTATATCCATCTAAATCTAATCTCAATAATGCACTAATTATAAATAGTATTTTTGGTAGTATTTCATCTAATTTAAATCCTCCTAGAATCAATATTGTTAATTTTTCAAATACATTCCAAAAATCAATATTGAATATTTTAAGATGGTACATTTATTTTTTTGAAAGTATGAAAAGAAAAATTGATATCATTTCTTACTAACAATAATTTTATTTTTTTACATTTTTAAACAAGAAATAAATGTTTCAAATATATCTTTACTTGACTTTCTATCTATGCTACATATAAGTATTTGTAAAGAGCAAAAGTATAATCCTTTGATGGTGAACCTTTGTAGGATATTCTTCATATTATTATCAAGTATAATACCTTCCAACTAATCAACAACATAATAAAAGAATAATTAGAAATTACAATCCCTAGCATTATCAAATGCTTAAAACATATACAAATCTCAAAGTATTTTGCATTGCAACAGACAAAAAATATAAAATCATTTGTAAAAGGTATTAGTAATTTTTTTTAATTTTATATATATATTATATGAATGCATAGAAAGAGACAACCATCTCAAAAAAGAAAAAGAAAACTTTGAATCCTCACTCTACGACAAGAAAAGCCATTAATTCATAGATCATAATGCACAAAGAAAGTTCTTGAAGTGGAATCAAATAAGACATTGAAAGTATGACAAACTACTAAACATATGTCCAATAATCCAACTAACACATGATCATCTATCTATCCATGTGTCGGCCTCGTCGTCGTCGTCGTCGTCGTCGTCTCTCGTCCTCGTGGAGGGGGAAATGACTTTCCTCCGGACCCGTTTCTTTCCACACGCCAGCTAAGTTTGCATTCGAAAATAAGAAACCCCCCCCCCCCCCCCCCCACCAAGTTTGAAACCAACCCCCTCTCGAAGGCAAGGAGGAGGAGGAAGGACGAAGACGGCCACGAAGAAGAAGAAGAAGGCCTCCGTAGCAAGCTAGCTAGCTATCATCCCCTGCTGCTCCCGTTCCATAGCTGCTGCTAGATTTGGTTGCGAGGAAGGCGAGACTTGATTGCAGCTTCCGACCTCGATTGATTGCAGAGTGCGCAGCATGGAGTGCATCTTTGGGCTAGTGGGTGATGGGTTCGCTCTTGTGGTCACTGATACATCGCAAGTGCAGAGCATTGTCGTGCAGAAGACGAATGAGGACAAAATTATGATCCTCGACTCGCACAAGCTGCTCGGCGTCACTGGCGAGAGTGGCGACAGGTGTGTTGGATTGGGTTGCGTTTCACCGATTTAGGGTGGTTTGGTTAATGGTGGATTAGGGTTTTTTTTTGTGTAGCTTGAGGTTTGAAGCAATTAGTTTTTGATTGTTACGGTGAGTCTTAATTATGTGCTCTCAGTGCGGATTCCTTGTTGGTTGGGGCTATGTTAGGTTTTGTTGAAAACCTATCATCTGAGTTGTTTTTGCTATCGTCAGTGTCTTGGATCCTGCTACTACTTCTTTGTTGAGTTTGTGGCGGTGAGTTGATTGAGCGCAGAGTGCAGTTTTCGGAGTACATTCAGAAAAATATTCTGTTGTACCAGTATCGAAATGGAATTCCCCTATCGACATCGGCTGCTGCGAACTTCACGCGGGGAGAGCTTGCCACTGCTCTCCGAAAGAATCCCTATGAAGTGAATATGATGATAGCTGGGTGGGATAAGGACCAGGGTCCATCTCTTTACTACTTGGACTATATCTCAACCCTTCATAAGGTTGAGAAAGGTGGAATGGGTTACGGTAAGTTCTTTGGCTGAGTTTTTCTAGTATATTGCCATTTACTTCTCTTCTTTGACACCGTTGACCATCTTGATATTGGGATATCGGTGCTTATGATAGAGTGTCTCGTGTGATATAGGTGCATACTTTCTGCTTTCACTCATGGACCGATACTATGAGAAGAACATGTCACTGGAGAAGGCCTTGGAGCTGGTGGACATGTGTATTGAAGAAGTGAGGAGCAGGCTAGTGGTCTCGCCTCCAAACTTCATTATTAAGATTGTCGACAAGGATGGTGCTCGGGAGCTTGCGTGGAGGAGAACCGTGGAAGACAAACAGGGACCTCCCTCTGCTGCAGCCCCCATAGCGTCCCCCATGGCTGAAGATGTGTCTGTTTGAAGTTAGAGAATGCTGGACTAGTCACTGAATGCTGAGATGATAGCAATGTATGGATTGCTTTTTTTTTGGTTCTTTTCGTCACAATACACACTAGTTCTTGTTGGGGCATAGTTTGTGCCTCTTCTGAGACTGTTCACGGTAAGGCAGACCCATATTGTCAGCCCCCCGTTGATCACATTCACTGCAATTGGTTGTCTATAAAGGTAGTAACGATTGTACCCCTTTGGCAAGATCTTATACATCTAAAACATTGAATTGGCCTGCTTACATAAGTACATGGATAGCCGTTAGATAAGTCTGTTTTTTAATTCCCTCGGAGGAAGTTCGTTACATCTCGATCCAGCCCTTTTTTGCATTCCTTGTGTACGCCTTATATGGGGTTTGCGAGTGCTTCTAGCTGTCACTTTGTTGCTGTTGGGAAGGCGATGTGTCGGTGAATTCCAGGTGAATTAGTAAGTGATTCAAGTCAGAAATTGGTTCTCTCCGTTGTTTTGGGCGAAAGAGTATCTGTACTGATTCATTCAACACGCGTATGGATTAGTGTTGGCATGGTTCTGGATCGAAATTCTTTGATGGTTTCATGTCAGTGGGGGATGGGTGGACAAGAGTCATGTGAAGCGACTTTTAGCTTTTTTTTTGGTTAGTGCGGTTCTTTGATTTGCTGGGGAGTTGCATAGTTGAGAGCTTCTAAGTGCATTTATTGTGGCAATATGAACTGAATCGGTTGTGATTCTGGGAATTGAAGCGTGTATGCGACATGAATGTGCATATCATTTGGATGTGTACACCACCAAGAAATCCAGTAAATGAGAGTTAACTACAGGTTAAATATCATTCGGTAGATCCCATGTCTCCAAACCTTTTCATTAACGTTCCTCGATAAATGCTATGGGGGCTGTATGTGCTATTTATTTATTTGGTTTATTTCTTTTGACACAAACAGGGTTCCCTGTTGCAAGGATTTTGTTAACAAAGTTGTGTTCAAAAGCTCAACACCCTTTATCAGGTAGTGGAGGTGGGAGCTCTGCTATTCAACGGTCTAATTATTATTAATATTGTTAATTTTTCTGTTATTGCTTCAGAAAATATGAATCCACATTAAGGAATCCTAGGATTCTACTCAATTTTTTAATTTTTTTTCCCTAACTGTTATGCCTTAAGTCATTTGTGATTTGTCTCAACATAAAATAAAAATGTACCATTATTTGGTTGTTTGTCTCTTAAAAAGTTCCATCTCAATCTCCTATAGTATTATGAATTATCCCAAATAATTTTTGTAATATATTGGTCAGACCATACTTCATCAATGGATACTTTTGCATTATGTTGTATCTAAATTGTCCATAAACATATATCTCCTAGTACTTATCAAATGCTTTCGAATCATTTTTAGACATGGTTTGTTTCTATTAGAAAAATACATCTTGGATTACAAGGTTTACATTATAGCAATATGATATTGTTGACTTTTGCTCTCTTAGTATTGAAAACTACCTCACAATGCCTAATAATCCATAGTAATATTGCTTTCTTGCAAGTTCTTAATCTAAACAAAACATCTATCCAATTAATATAGACATCTTTATCTAATAGTCCTTCTTGTTTTAAAGAAAGAATATTTCAAGAAGTAGACAAACTTTAAAGAAGCTCTCCAATTAATTTTGTAGTGTAAGTTAAGAACTTGGGCCTAGATATCCAAAAATAAATACATGGATTAAAAAGTAGTATATGAAAAACTCTAAAAAAAAATACTTTATCTTTTAAGCTAAGGCTTTTGGTCTTAGACTTTATTTATATCCTAATGCTTTTAACAAAATCACAAACCAATTTCGACCCTTATTATGTTTGTTGTTGTCTTGTAGATGCATGTTGTCTTGAGAGATTTTTATTACCATTTAAGTTTAAAGATTATTTACCTATTCTATGTATTCATAATTTAAATAGTATCAAAAGTTCTATTTATTTATTTTATCCAAATGTTAGTATAAAATATTTTTTTATTTCTATTAAGTCCTATTAATTCTCTAATATTGGTGATTTTGGATCTTCCTCTAGGAAATGACACCATCTTCTTAGATAAGATTTTTTTTGCTATAGCCAAAAATTGATTTCTTTGTTTGTTATGACAAATTTATATATAGCTTCTTCATAATTCATAAACTAATGACTTGGTCTATTGCAAACATGTTTAATTCTTTGCATTCATTTTTATGAAATTTTGCTAACCTTTGTCACTAATTATGGTCTAATATCATTAGAAACTCTAAGTCCTTTTACAAAAACTTAATCTATATAAAATGTGGTTGAAAATCATATATCAAGATATTGAAGTAATTTAGACAAATTTCTTTTAATTTTGAGAGAGTTCTTTAATCCTTTAGATTTTCAAATTTTAAAGTTTAGAAAGAAGATGTGACAAAATAATAAAAAAAACAATTACATATCTAGTGAATAAATGCAATTTTATTTACCTTTTTTTAATACAAAGTTTTTTGGCATCTAAATTCTACATTTATATGTTATATCTTAAAATTTTGGTTCTTGATAAGCTACTTTTAATTATATTACATATGTCTAAGGCTCCATTAACTATAAAGGTTGAATTAGTTGATTGAAGCTCTTTTTTTATGACCATGATATTTGCAAAAATAAACTCAAATACTAGCACATGTAATGTACAATTGTTCTACTTATGTAATCTAACATTTATTTTGAAGACCTTCTACTCTTTTGTTGAATACTCTCTACTTTGTCTCTCCTTAGGCTATAGACTTTTTGAAGTTAATTAATTATTTTTTATTTTATTTTATATACTATATTTAGAGTAGATTATATGATCTCAAATTAAATAGATAGATATGCAAAAAAATTGAACATACATATAAATGATAATCTATTTGATGATAATTAAAGCTACCATGCTAAGATTGTGAGTTCTACTAAAACATCTTAATTGGTAGATTTGTTAGAAACAAAGTTTTTAAATTGTTTAAAAACAAAAAAATTAAGATTAAAGAATCCATTTGATTATCTAGGTATTTAATAGGATTTAGAAGGTCTTATAGATTACAAGAGTATTATAAGGGAAAAATTCATAAAAATAGAGTCTTAGTAAGACTTGAAGGCTATTATCTTAGTTGGTTTAAGTATTTTTTAAAAAAATTATAATTAATATTTAATAATTAAAAAAATATTTAAATTAATCTAAAAATTAAATTAAATACTTATTAAAAAATCATAGATATTAATTAGTATTTAGAAGAAGCATAAAAAGAAATACTATGATTATTTAGTTATTTATATTTAAAATATGATTTTCAATTGAATTAAATTAATTCTTTGATATAAAATAAATAAAATTTTAATTGATAATAACATCTTAAAAATATTTAATAGTTTTTTAGAATTTATTTAGAATATTTTAGGAATTTTTAGAATATATTATTAGTAATCATAGTGACTAAAAATTAGAATAGTACTTGTAGGAAGGGATGTATATATGTCCTACATAGGTTGTAGTACTTTGTATGTGGGTAGGAGGATAATACTAGGCCCTTGTGGATCCCTTAGGACATCCTACATATCACTTTGTAAGCTTTAGTGAGGCTCAAATCCTTAACTACTTAAGCAAGTTATCTTTGAGATAAAATCTATTATTATTATTTTTATTATTATTTTCTTCATATCTTTAAATTTGTACAACTTACTTGTACTAATTTTAATTTATATGCTTTATATGTTATTAAAAAGATACAAAATTTATTTACACAATTTATTTTTATTTTATTTTTTATCAAGTAAAAATCTAATACATAAATTGTAATGATTTTTTGGAATGTGTATTTCTTAGATTGTATGTATTTTACTTATTTTGTCCATCTCTTTTCTTTATTTCTTAGTGATTGTATCTCTCACTCTACACCACCAATTACAAGCAATTCTTAATTGAAGCTATCTTATAATTTAGAATGAAGAATAAATTTTACCATCACAAAAACTTACAACATTGACAAGTATATATAGAAGAAAGACTAAGAAGACAACTAATTTATGGCATGCAAAAATTAAATAAGATCATGTTTAGTAACTAGACAACAACTTGTATTTTTTGTTTAGAACTTTTACAATGAGAATAATGTTAATAAGATTTAGATATGGGTATGTAAGTCAATATTTTTTTATACAAAGTTAGTTTTATTTTTCCAATGAAAATTTGAATTATGCACTTTGAATTTAATTGCACTCCTAATACTTAGGCTTTAATATTAGTCTAATTTTCATACATTATTGTAAGTATATTTTGAGATGGTTTTTAATTTTAAATATAAAATATTAATTTCTAAATATCTACATCATAATTATATAGTATGTTGTATTGGTCAATGATATAAGTATGTTAGATACATCCTCTTTGCTTATAACATTCTAAAATTCATCTAATATAAAACATAATGCAAAATGAACTTGTAAAACAAATTTTAAAGATAAGAGGTGTTGGGATATTAAAAAATATCTCTTTGTTATAAATACAAATAAAGTACTTAAAAACTACTCTATATCTTAATAATTTTTTATTTCTCATAGCATAGCTTTTGTTATACATTACAAAAGTTGTGTTTTTTAAATTTTATTGTAAATGCTGTCATTGTTTACAATGCAGCAAAATTGAAGTAATTTTTATACAACTGTTTTTGCAATATACAATATACTGGATGTATGCAAATTGGATTTTAATTAAGTACTCATTCACACATGATTTGCATGTGTTACTCTAGTAAGAATAGTCTGTGCTATATTTATGCTTAATAACTTATACTTTGTTACTCAACCAATACTTGTTTAGTATATAATTTTAAAAATAACATTTTTTTTTAAATGTGTACAGATTCTCTTACATAATGAGTACACAATAGTAAATTATTTGTACTTATTTATTATAAATAGAAGTATCATTTGAAATAAAAAATTTACATATTTTTTCAAACATTGGTATAATCAAAATGTACTTTATTTAACAAAAATTGTATATACATTACAATAAATCCAACTTTATTCTGTTTTATAAATTAAATTAATTTGTACATAGCTAGGATTTTATCTTGAATTTGATCAAAATCGTTTGTATTTTTTTCTGCATTTTTAAAATTAAATTATGTGGTTGGTTTTAAAACATTCTATATGACATACAACCCAATATCTACTACGTCAAAAATTGGCTAGTTCATCCCAGTTTACAATATACAAATGTACTATGACTAAAAGAGTACTCACTCATATAGATATTTGATATTTACCACAACTACCACTACACAACACATCATTGTTCATGCAGGGGCCCCACACATCTAAATTAGACTCAATTTTGGACTACAGTTTGGACACATGTGGTGGTGAAGGAGTATCCCAAAATCCAACCATTTTGCTATAAGCGATTGGATAGTGATTTCAACATTGTTTCAATTAACTATTCAAGCAAACAGAATAAGATGCTAATTTTTTAGATTCAAGTCAAAGTTTGTATTCCTGTTTTTGATTCAGTATGAAACCCGTGATCATATCAAACTGCATCCGTAAGCATTCAATTGCAGAATTCAGACAGACCCTTTTTGTGAACACTGGCAATTCACAAACAGAGGTAAACAAGCAGTAAAGGCGTTCATAGGCGCACTTGTTGCAAAGAAATTAACTAGTGAGAGAGCATGTTGTGTGCAGCGGCTTGATCGATGAGCAGATTGGATCACGTAGAGTGAGGTCAGTCTTCCAATGCAGAACTGTCCAATTGGAACGTGACGGCACTAATTGCTGGATAAGCTGATCCATTTTGTAGAATAAACTGATCAAAAACAGATGTTGGTCCCTGCTTGTTGCCCCACCTCCCATTGAATCCCCACCATGTATATTCTCCTATCATCAAATCAATCGCCGTTTGCAAGCTCATCATACTTGCATTACGAACCACGCGACGCAAGGGTAGCGTTTAGATCCACTGCTTGAACGGTAAGAATCATTGCATGTAACAAGGCAAACTGCTCAGAGTGGCAAATCCTTCAGACGATTTCATTGCACGTTTTGGTTTAAAGGAGGAACAGCTATGGAAGTTTGTTATGGATGGCAACTTACTGGTTAGGGGTTGACCTTCCACTCGAACGACCACATTATTCCATGTCTCCCATTGCTCAGCATTCCCACCGTCGTGGTCGTCTGCTAAATCTCCAATCAAAATAATCCTTCGGTAGACAGTCCTACCTGCAAGTGAATCGTTCAAACCTTGTCTACACTTCAGCAAAACCCAGCATCTCCGTCATAGGGGATGAAGCAGACAACAAGAGTTTGATCAACTCGCGTAGACGATGATCCATTGCTTACCTGGCTTGTTGTAGGTGCCGTGAGAACCTCGAGCTACGTACAAGATGGGGTGTGCGGTATTCGACACAAATATAAGATTGCTGGGGGTCAGACAGTCGCCGGAAGAGTGCTGGCTCGTGTACGCTGCAATAAGTTTGGGACCTGGGTTTTCGAATCTGATGCGTAAGGTGACATACTCCCAGTCGCCCACATGATTCCCCCACACAGTGAAGTTTCTGATTAGTTTGCCTTGGTTGAAAGGGTAGAATGCAAAGTATACGAAATCGAAGAGGATAGGACTCTTGCGGACGATGGTGGTATAGATCGGAACAGTGCCCTGCGCGGTAGGTGCCCGCCCAAGCAGGAAGGAATGTCGTTGTGCAATTCGTTGCGGTGAGTCTTTGTATTTGACATCGGACTCCTAGAGTGGCACCTTGGTTGTGAGGAACGTCGTTAATGGCTTCGATGTTGGGGAGACTAGATTGGCTGAGCTCAAAGGGTCCGGTTGGTTCGGTATCGCTGATCCGTCTTCGTTTATCTGTGAACACGTTTTCCAAGAAAAATATGGTTAGAACTCGATTATCGACATCGATCATGGTGGTACAGAAGCACGGGCATGCCGTTATAATGTTTGGCGTCCCGGTAACCTACTAGTTTCACGGAAGGAAGAAAATCATCGACTGCGGAAGGGAAGAAGGACTCGAAGGAGTCGAATTTTAGCAATGGAGCGTATGCTTTGGTAAGACAATCCAGGCGACTGTCCGTTGGCTCCGTCCCCGGACATTGTCCACTGGCTATGTCGTCGGGGTCTGCGCCATCTCGTCACACGAACAATTACTAGTTCACTCATGAAAACTGAGACGATCATGGATAACCCCCTCTCAACAACAAAGCCTTTCAACAAACAAGACCTTCATAGGATGATTAAATCTCAACGTGGAGGTCAGAAGATGCCCTAGACTTTGAGGAAAATACATGTGTAGCAAGAGGTTGCTTACGTCCAGAATCGAGAGCTGAACCACACTGGCAACTGCTGGAGACGACAACCAAAACAACAGTTGCTAGTTCCAACCAAGCAGTATCCTCGTCCATCCTAGTGGCAGCCATTCCAATCTCAATATCACTGTATAATGTACATAGGAGTAGCTCTCGTCACGCACATTTGTTCAGGCAGAACTTCAATGGACTACCGATTTTTGTTGGAAGATTAACGTATTAGTCAAAGCGGGCACATTGTCTGCACTTTATGAGAAGCTGGAGGTTGCCAGCTAGCATTTAAGGTGCCAGTGATTAGGGCAGCCATTATTAGGTGCAAACGATTCAGTAAAGTCCAAGTGAAGCCAAGCCAGCTACTGATGCTAAGAACTACACGTAGCTTAAGCATGTGGTTGCAAGAGAAACAGAGATTTACTATCACATTGCACTAACCGAATATTGCGCTGCGAGCGGTTAGTTTTGCGAGGGCTGCACGGTACCATTTCATCACCCTGATGGTGCATCGACCACAGTGTGAAGGCAGAGTTTGAAATACTCACTCCTCACACAGGAGAAAGTGACATCACATGACTGCACGGCAGAAGAAGAGCCTTCACCTGAAAACCGCGCACTTGTTAGAAATGTTGCTTTCACAGCAGTGTGTATGCGCTTGTACAAGTGGACTACAGCATCAGCACCCAATTCTGCGAAAGTTGAGAGCTCAACCATTCGTCTTGCAACAAGTTAATCGCGCTGGTAACATCAGCTGAGTACCCAACGGCCGAACATAAGCTGCAGATCTAGACACGGGATGGGGTCTTGGCAGGTGTAGACAGGCGTCGGGTATGCAGCGCCTTGAGAAAGAGGGAGAGGCGTGTAAAATTTCATTGAAGGATCGGAAGGGATGAGACTCCTCCCCTCTACATCCTTACGGTGAAGCAACCCCACCTTAAAGATGGATTGCAACACCTTTAGGGGCATTCTGCAAGTCCGCAAGGTGATCTGGTGTCACACCTCTACTAGTCCTCACAAACCCATCAAGCAAGTCTTGCAATGTCCTAATATTGTCAAATTGTCCTGATCATTTTACAAGAGGGGCTTATCTTATCCCATTTAGATATTTCAGCTGCAAGATCTTGCTTGTCAACTCGTAGACCACGATTGCAACGAAGCCTTCCACGCTCGCAGCACAATCCTCTGGATGCCTTGCAGCGGGTTCTTGAGTGTTGACTCCAAATGTCCAAAGACATTTAGGAGCATGCTTCGAGGTAGACATGTTTTATAGCAAAAAATTAAGTCATTTCAATTTAAATCTTCACAAGAAATACAGTTTATGGAATGGAATGAATTTTCGAAAGAAAGTGCTTATTTTTCCCAACATTTCGTTTTTAACAAAAATGCTTGTATTGTTATATTACTAATCTTTCTTATAGATCAGAAAGCAACTCAGGAAGTGAGCAAATCAAAGTGAATTTGTTCTGAATTATGCATCTGATATTCACACGATAGCATCCTGGACTGTATTCTGTATCTAAATGTATCTAGTCCAGGTACAGGTTAAGATACGTTGGTGAGAACGACCACGATGTCTCCAAACCTAAATTCACCAGAATTTAAAAGCTGAAACATTCTTGGTGGTAACTATCCTTTGGCGACTTCTTTTATTTCTGTGTTTTCTCAGCAGTTTCCATAACTTGAGACTGAAGCGATTTCTTTAAAAATATCTCCCTGATTCTATCTATCAAATTTTGCCAGAAATTTTGTGTGCCCTTAACTCGGACAGATACTCTGTCTCCTTCGTTTTCTACCACAAACCAATGAAGTTGGTTAACTCTACTCTCTAAAAGAGGAGATGAAGCGCCCAGTGTTTGCACACTCTCCACCCATTTACGCAGAAGAGTATTCACCACCTGACAACACCGCAGAAGCACTTTGTGAAGACACCAAATAACTCCAACTAACAGATGCAAGATATGCTCGATTTGTTCTGCTAGAATGTTTGCTCCTATTTGAATTGGAATAAAACTTCGATTTGTTATCAATATAGATATTTTGTTATTATCCTTTAAACAAAGGTCTAGCTTTACCGATTATATTCTGTACCATACAAGCCAAGAGAACAATTTGGGCTGGAAATAGAACCTCTGGCGCTTCATGGTGAGGGCAATGTCCAGCAGGGCTAAGCTCATAGTAGATTGCATCCGGGTTTCGCTGCTTGGCTCTTTGACCCCAAAATGGCACTACCCATGGATCCTCCTTCCCGTATATCATACACATGGGCATTCGTCTCTCTTTCAAACTACGCATTTCAAACCACTTCTATCAAAACCAGAGACCCCTGAAATGACTAAAAATCTTCTGTAATAATTTCACATACACAATGCCTTCGGAACAACATCAATACTCGAATACCAGAACAACCATCCCACACCTTTACATGCCAAATCTCTAAGTAATAACAAGTGGTACATATGAACAATGCAAATTTCAGACGAGTGTTATACTGGAAAAACCTGATTAAGTTCTCGCCGAAGTCTGTATGTGCTCGAGGGGCAAAAACGATTGAAGCAAATGCAGCAAATGCAGCTGGGTGATCAGTGGCTTCTATAATTTGCGTAATTAGCTTTTTATTGATAGCTGAGCGGTTGGCGTAGACGGCTCCCAACATGTTTCGTATTGTTGACGGATTTCGAAGAAGATCCCACCTTGAACAAACAAAATTTCGTTAACAAAATCCTCCTTCAACGGTCAAATCTTAATCAATCTAAAGAAACTAACGCATCAGATGAAGCCGTTAGAGAATGAGTTATGAGAGAGATGAAAAGTCTTAATAAGTGTATAAACAAGGTTTACCAGAATCTTATTATAGCCTTTGCAAAAATAGGAACCGGGAGAAGCCCTCCCCATGGAGTGAGCTTAGAAAGCAAAGGATAACGCCTCGAGTTCGGCGTGAAGGCCCAAAACGGAGTTGCGTTTAATAATGTCACTCCCTTTACCAACTCTGGATTTGTTGCCGCAAAATAGCTACCGACGTAACCACCAAGAGAGTTTCCAACAATGTACACCGGTCCACCAATAACCTAGAAAAGAATTGTGGAACAACAATCGAACATCAATTTCTGTAATCAGATCGAAAATCCGGTATAGAAACTGATTCCTCTTCCAAAACTGATTCAGACCTTTTCTATGAAAGCGTGCACTTGGTCTCGCCATGTATCCACCGAATACACAAGCCCCTCGGCCCAAGGCTCCGGGTTCTTTCCTAAGCTCCAATGACGGATCTTCTTCGAATTCACCTGACCTTCCAAAACCTCTTCAACCACTTCCTCTGCTTCTTCAGGTGCCGGATCATGTGATGGCCAGGACTTTCCTTGGCCTAAAAAATCAATTGCCCAAACCCTGTACTCTTGACCGAGGTCTCGAAGTTGTTGATGGTAGTGGAAAGACCCTACCCCGAATCCCGGCAGCAGGAGCATTGCAGGGGCGTTGGTATTCTCCATACCTGCAGACTAGAGGCTTGCATATCTCAGTATTACTAAAAACTCGTAAAAGGATAAAGCAACAAGGAAAGAGAAAATAAAATCGTAAAACTTAATCGTAAGAACCGGCTAGACAAGGCTCGTGCCTGCGCACTCGTAGTGTATGTTCCAGCGATGGCGCCATTCCCAAATATGGCTGGCTATGGTGGCTCCGACGTAATCAGCACCTCGAACACTCTGAAGTCGAAATTCTCTTGAATCACTATAGTTTTGCTGCTTAGGTAGAACTTCTTCCTTCACAAAACCGCCATTGCTATCGCCCACAACTCCTACGTCCGCGCTATTAATTTGCGCCTGGCACCTCGCATTGCTTGCTAGCGACCTTCCACTTAAGCCCAATTGAAGCGAAAACCGGCGTGCTGCCGCCCCATGTTCTGCATGAACTAGGCCACATCAATCCTCTGCAAGGCACCTAGACAGATGAACAGATGCAGAGCAATACAGTACCTCCCCATAATCTTCCACTACTCCACCCTCAACCAAACCACTAAAATCGCACTATTTTCAACTTCGACCTCACGACACACAACCCGATTCACTCAAATTTTTTCACCAAGGTTTTCTTTCCTTCAACCATTCGCCACTCTCTCAACGAGAGCGTAAACCTCGAATGCCAATTCTAAGTACCCATCCTCATAAACCGCAGATTTCCACCCTAAGAGAGAAAAAGAAAAAAGAAAAAACGAAAAAAACCCAGAGGGTTGGGTGGGAGGACACCAAAGAAACCTGTAACAGAACAACGCACATGATTCCGAAATCTTCTCCTGGAAGCTCCTTTGAGGGGAATAACAACAACAGCAGCCACGCCAGAGCAGGAAGGCGGATGATCATGAGCGGCGATGGGGCGCAACAAGTGGTGCGAGCAAGCAGGGGGGGCTCGCATCACAGCGAAGGAGGAGAGCGTGGAGGCCATAGTGAGGCGAGGAGGAATTACAGAGAATTGCTTCCTCCCTCGTGCACTCACTCTGCAAATGAATCTGCAATGCTACAGCTGCCCAGCCCAGCCCAGCAACAGCCCCGTCAGAGAGAGACCTCACCCTCTCTCCCGTCCCTCTTCCTTGGCTTTCGATTGGTAAGGCACCCTTCCTGCCACGCTGGACTATGGCCTCGTCACCACCGCGATGCTCCATTGTCCGTAAGGATAATATGCGCCGTTTTATTGTTGGAGAGTGTGTTTTTTACTTGAGGCACACAACCCATTTCCGATCATTTAAGCATTTCAGCATATCTAGTAGGTGTAAAAATGGAAATAGAAATCAGAAGGATTCCAAGTGTGTTCACACAATTTGGCCCATAAACAGAATTTTATATAAATGCCTTTGTTGAGAATTCTCTTTGACCCATTTTTGACATACAAGCTCATCTAATTCCGACTGGTGGTGGATTATAAAATCAAGAATCCAATTTTTACAAAATTGTGATGTGTGGCATCTATCAAGAGAAGTATGATACCTAATTATACTATTATTTCACCCCAACCAATCAACAATTGCCACCTATTGATAGTTCATGCAAACCCATTTTGAGTACAATGAAGTTTATTTATTGTTCATAGCTTAACATCATTTTAACCAACACACAAGCTATTGTTGGATCTTTCAAATTATTGATAGAAGGGTGCATGATTAAGAGTCTATGTTTTTTATTTAAAAAAAAAAAAAAAAAAAAAAAACACACCAAATCATTTATGAACAATTAGATAGGATTAAAAGTTTTAAGATTTATTAAAATGTATTGGTGCAAGGAGCCATTGGGAGTTTTGTTCTTTTGGTTTCAAGTATTAGCTAGGTATCTATTCAGCTATGGCCTTTTCCAACATAGTACATCTTTTAGTGCATGAATAAAGAATTTATTATCAGTAATGATGAAATTATGTTAAAAAATAGTATCTCATACTCTTACCACTTCAACATTTTTTTGCAAAGTTTTGTTTGTTTGTTTCTATCCATATTCTTATTTATTCATAATAGAAACAATATTGGGCAACATTCATTTCATATATTATTTATTTTTACAGATTTATACATTCTATAATTAAAACCAAAAGCATTACATACTACAGTAGAACCTATCTAATTAAATACGGTGGGGATCAGTGGTTGAGTATTCATTTGGGCAGGTTATTTACTTGTAGAAGTCAAGCAGGTACTATAGTATAATACAAATGTAGCATTTTGCTACATATGCAATATTTATGGAGGTGAATGCCTCATATTCTATTTGAAATCTTCAAAGTATTTGTTTACTCAATGTACAGGGACTTCAACTAAATTATGCAATAACCACTTATAGAGGTTTATTCACTCTAAGTATGTATCTGAGTTTGGGACCATGATGCTAGTATGCATTTAAGGAGGTTTTGCATTCAAACAGTATGTATCTAGATAAGTTCTACTATATACAAGATTTGGCATTAACAAGTGACATCAGCTATAAGAAAATCTTCAACTGACTAGTATGAATTCCAACAATTTACAGTAAAGCTCACATATCTACATGCTAGCAAGGGTATTAAAAGTAAATTTGATATTTAGCAAAAATTGTAGGAAATCCTTATTCAATTCTCCTCTTTTCACAAATTAGAATCTCAAGTTTTCTTTTGAGTGTTAGGATCAGAAGCTACACGAACGTGTATCACACAAGCTTGCGTATTCCACTGCGTTGAACTGTGTAGAGGACATGAATAAATATAAAAAGTAGCATATACTGTCATGTGCATTTCATTCAGTCATATTCACTCCACAGTTCCATTGATGTTATTTACTGCGTAACTAATAGCAGGAACTAATTCCAAAACATCCAATTTGTTCTAATTAGACAAGAGGGTTTCAATAATTATTACTCGTGTTCCAATCGGTATTTAATCCTCACGTACTTCACAAACCTTCCTTCCATTGCGTGAACAACTTGATTGAAAACATTTTTTTTCAAGAAGTGTGTACATTACACTACATCATCCATATATTTATCCATGATATCCTCAAATATTTCACCCATCCACATGTGCTACCACAAATTCCAGAATCCCTAAGCAGCACTTGAGCAATCGACTCTCACATTCAGTTTTAGACACAAAGCTCACGAAGTAGAGTATCGCCAGGCTTGTGGAGACAGACATGTTCATGCCGACACAAGGATAACGGCGGGCACATCGGTTGAGTTTATGCGCATTAGTATCGAAAAAACGAATGTGCGGATACATTTACAATCTACTTGCCAGCTCCTCCTAATCTAAGAGCTTGCAGGATTCGTTGGCCTCCTGGGGATGGGTGAGGGCCTTTGTATTTTCCCAGCTGCAAAATCGGGTTAGGAACAGGGTTAGAAATCGGGCCGGATTTTTTCTCTTCTGAACCGAAACTACAACAGAGATTCATACACAAACAATGAACACGCATGCGACGTTTTGTAGACCCACCTGGGCATCGGAGTTCGCTTTAGCGAGGGCAACAAGCCGCTCTTGAGCTGCCTGCCAGTTCTCCTCCTGAACATAAAAAGAAAAAAGTAAAAACAACCCAATCCGAATTGAGTATGCATAAATCGACTGGTGTTAAGGCTAGTTGGTTTAATGCAATTTAGAAAAACCGCGATGCAAGCTCAGGCCGAAGTGATGAAAACTCCGAACGATGCGTACCTGTCCTGCCCACATTTTGAGGGTGCTTGACTGCAAAGCTCTGCCGTATGAGAATGTGAGAGACCACGGAGTCGGCCCGTATGCCTGAGCACGAAAACAAACAACGTCAATATGAGGCGAATTACTTGCGAGCGGGTTGAAGAGTGCTCTTCAATCTAGATTCTCCAGTGATGATGCTCACGTAAAATAAATGTGGCGATTCAACGGAAAGTACCTGAAGAGCCTGCAGATTCAAAGTGGCCTCCTCTTCGCTCATACCTCCGGACAGAAAATGGATTCCTGCCAATTTCATTTTAATCCAGTGGCTATTTGTCAGTCATTGCCGGCAAGGGAACCGCAAAACCTCACACAATTAGCAAAACTCAACATGAGCTGTGCGAGCATACCAGGCACAGCGCCAGGCACTGATCGGAACATGGTGCGCACAGTGTAGCGAGCCACTTCTTCAGGAGCAGGTGTGGGCACATCCAAACCTGGGAGGATCATGTTTGGTTTCAACAAGATTCCCTCCAAAATGACACTGCAAAAACAAATAATCGTCAGAAAAAGCAGACTACCCTGGAGAAAAGTGGACGGCGATACAATTCGAAGTGCATTACATGGCTCACGGAGACTCAACAGGGCCTTACTTGTACTCATTCAGCAGCCGGAAGACGTGAGAGTTCACCTTCTCGGAAATGTAGGCTGTTCGCTCAATGCTGCACACACACGGTAGTATTAGCGACGTCGGTGATGCAAGTTGGTATCAATCGCAAGTCATGACTGTCATTGAACGAGACAAAACAAAAGGGAGGTGGTGCATTCTTACCTGTAGTCGCCTTCGCCGAGAGTCACTTCAGGCTCCACAATGGGAACTAGACCGTTTGCCTGACAAATCTGGGCATATCGAGCGAGTCCATGGGCGTTTTCGAGAATAGCGGTGGAGGAGGGGAGTACTTCGTTATCCACCTTGAGCACTGCGCGCCATTTGGCGAATCGAGCTCCCTGCTTGTAGTACCTTCAAAGATCAAGTATGTTTCTCGTTAAGACCTTGCTCCAATTGAATTCCGGACATGATGATGGGGAGATAGTTTGAGAAATGATGAATGGAGAAGGCAGCCAACCTTTGGCATCGCTCGGCGAGGCCATCCAAGCCCTGTGTGGCGGTTTCACCGTCAGTGCCATCAATCGGCTGCAGGCCGGTGTCTACTTTGATTCCGGGTAGGATACCCTGCTCTTTCAAAATGTCCACGAAGGGTACTCCTGCCCTTGAGGATTGAAACAGAGTCTCATCGAACATGATTGTGCCGCTGATGTACTGCACACCACGGGCCGAGCGGTATGAGAAAGTTCGTCATATTTGGAATCTCTTCAGCTCGCGTTGAAGCAACTGAGAAGGGTGATTCCAACATTGATGGAACACTCAAACTGCAGTATCAATAGAGACTCCTGACTCGAAACCTTACGAGATGCGAGACCAGCATTACAGCAAAAAACGGCTAGACGATGAATTCGAGAGAAAATCAATGGGGGGAGAGATCACATTGCCAAGGCCAGGGGCAGAATACAGAAGCTCTCGCCATGCTTGCCTGTTCTCCACCGTGTTGTCTAATCCCACCGTCGCCAATCTGCAGTCAAATTATCACACTCATCAATTCCCCTCACAAACTGCAGAATTCACGCTTGTTCACCATTCGCCATCCACCAAATCTCACACAATTCCGGAAAATCTCAAAACAAGTAGAATCGAAATCCAAAAAGAACTGCTCTCTCACGCTCGCTCTCCGTCACACCCCCCCCCCCCCCCCTCTCTCTCTCACCGCGTACCCAAATTCACGCATTCCGAGAAAATTACCGTTTGCCAGTGGTGGCATTACTCTCATCCGAAGCTAAGATCCCCTTCCCGGGCGCTGAGATAAACGCGGCGGTCTTCTTCAACTCATCAGCATACGGATTCGTCTTCTCGAAGTTGGAGGTCATCACAATCTGACCAGGGGTGGTGGTGGTGGTCGGGGTCCTGAAGCTGCTACGGCAAGCCTTGGGAGAGAGGCAGCTCTCCACGCCATTCCCAAGGAACGCACTTCGGGTCGCAGCTGCCAACTCCATTGCACGTCCTACCATTGGGGATGTTGCAAGCACAGAAGAGCTGCTGCTGCGATGGAATTGCGACGAAGAGCCAATTCAGCTGCGCAGAGCAGCAGCAGCGGGAGTTGTGGGTGGTGATGGTGGTTGGGGCTGCTCCTTCTGCTGCTGCGAGGGAGTGTGGTGCGGTGGAGCGGAGGTCCAGTGGCGCAGAGGACACAGTTGAAGATGAGTCTTCTGTGGACTGGGCGATGTGGAGATGAATGAACTTTACGAAGCTCACGGATGGATGATGCTCCCAGCGGGCTATTCTGGATGATTCTCGTTGCTCGGATTCCACCTCCTCCTCAGCATGCATTGCTTCTGTTTCTGTTGTCGACTTCCACACTAAACATCCTTTTCATTCAATTTTGCAACAAGAATAATTAGAGTGGATAATTTTAAAGTTTAACCATGTCTTCGTGAACAAGGAGAATTTTCACCCGAAACTTAAATATGTATTATCAATTTCTTTCTTTCTTTTGGTTTATTGCTTCTTCACTTGGGCTTTGATGGTTCTAATTGAATTAACTATCAAGATATTATAAGCAAGCTATTGAATTCCTGAACTGTGCTGAATCGAACTTCAAAAAAATATATGAAATTATCAAATGAATATATATATATATATATATATGAATGGATGAGTTGGTTAAAAAGAAAAGTCAAGTAAAATATACAATTTATATCATGATAAGTATAGAAATAAATTAAAATAAACTTTGAAAAATTAAACATATAGGAATTTTTTAATTATTATTTTGAATTATAAATATTAATTAGAATAATATATTATCAATTTTATAATTATGATCATTTTTAATTATATTAATTTATAAAAAACTTTAGTTACATGAAGTATGTGGTACAAAGAAAAACAAAAACAAAAAAAACAAAAAAAATAAAATAAATAAATGAATCAAAAAGTATTGTTAAGAATATGAATTATAAAGAACCAAAAGACCAATAAATTCTTGTCTCATAAGAAAGGAATGGATAATTACTCAAAAATAATATAATATTAAATTGGAATGGCTATTATCCAAGACAAGAAGACTAAAGACTCTTAAAACGAGATTAAGAATGGGACAAGTGTTGAGAAGAGTGAAGAAGGCTTTACTCTTGCCTCCATATATACTATCTAACAAGGAGCTATGCAACAACGTTCTAAAGAACCTTTGACATGTGTTTAACTTACAAGACACGTTTTTTATATGTGTGTTACATAACTAACTTATATCACAAGTTGCAAACATGTACAATAGATGGCCAATTTGTTCATCAAATTTTCAATCTACCAATCACCTACAAACCTATAAAAAGTCAAATTTGTATTTATGAAGCTTCTAAAAAACTACTTCATAAGACATTATTAAACTTATCTACTTTTATTAACTCCTACATATTTCTCTTTATCTAGGTGTTTATAACTATCAATAATATCCATGATATTATCCTTCCTTTTGAAGATAAGTTCCACAGTTATGTTGTGACATGATTATATGGTAAAAATATGAGTAAAAGTGATTTTTTAATTAATATTCTATTATATTAGTTCAACAAGAATTCAAAATATTTTAATAAGACTTTTATGAAAGCCTCTTAGCTTATTTTCTTATCTTAATAGCAAGTAGATAAAAGTTAGTTAATATTTTTACCTTCTAGGATATAAAAACTCTTTTACTACATTAGAAAGGCCATAAATTGATAAAAATCAGGGTAGAAGAGATAAATAGTTGATATGGTTGATATTAAGATCAAGTTGAGGGTAGGATTGGACTAAAAAATCCTTAGGATAGATTAGATTAATATCGAAGGTCGACTGTTTGTGAAGTAGGATCAAAATCAAACCTCTAGTCGTTAAAATGACCGCGTAAGGCAAAATAGGAATTCATTCAAAGATCGCAGATATAGATTTGAAAGTTCACTTAAAGTTCTTTTCAAAGACATAAGAGTTGTTTTTGTAGGATTTTTGAAGACTTGGCAATGGTTATTCAAAGTCATGAATTGTATTGGTGATTTGGACTTTATGTAATATAACTAGAGCTAGCAATTTTGGCTAGTTCATGCAATTGGTGTAACATCTATAATTCAAAACTTTATACTGCTTAGATTATTAGATGTGCTAAGTATATAAAATTTTTTTGTAATTATCTAACGATGTAGTTTAGAAACATCTAGTTTTTAGCACAATAGGGTTTAAAAGTTAGCAGTTTGGGATTACCTAGGGTTTCTATGATATCAAGAGATTTACTAGTCAGATCAAGGTAAAATTTGGCATGGTATTGTAAGACTTAATTTTGAGTCAAAGTTAATAGGTGGTGAAGGAAAAATCACTGTTGGGATTTTTGCTTCACTTTTCAAGTTAGCAGCCAAATAACATAAGTGCAGTTTTTGGAATTTTTTTCACAATTTGTATGTTGGATTGGGCTGAAAATTCTTAAGCATATAGAAGACTTACATTCACAATTGTATGCAAAATTTTACATCAAGTAGACAGTCAAGTTAGAAGTTATAGCTTGTTAAAGTTTACTGATTAAGATTGGAGCTTATAAGAAAAAGTCTAAATTACTTAAATATGAAAATAACAAAGTAATTGGGATTTATGTATGATTAAGGCTACAAAAAAGAGTATTTTTTAGTACTTTTGAATTAAAATTTGAATTATATTCTTCTCATATGATTGAAAACTATTAGGGTTTCTTAGATACTTATAAAACACAACCTCACCTTCCATAGCTAGGTGCCTAATGTATTCCTAAAAAAGACAACACGTAATACAACATAAGTGGTGAATCTGACGTAAAATTTTGGGATGGAAGGTATTGGATTATATTTGTGGTTATTTAGAATTGATGGTATAAGAAGGCAAGAAGATTGTATTTGGACTTTTTGGTGGAGCTTTAGATAGAGCTTCAAGTGGATCTTCAAGCGCAGCTTCAAGTGGGATTTCTACTGGTGAACAAGGTATGTACTTCGATTCAAATTCTACAAAAATATTTCAAGTATTTACATTATTTATGTAACAGCAACAAGGCAATGATCGCAAAGAGGCTTTGGCAACCAAAGAATTACAAGCAGTGGTTAACAAGATTGATCAATTTGATGGGAGGAATATTTTTAAGTATTTAAGATATTATGTCTAAGAAATGGAATTGAATTGCATTTTTGACAAAGAGATGATTCAATTATTTGAGCTTGCTATGGTACGAGAAATAAGAGAGCATATAAGGTCTATTATAGGACAATTTGGAAGTTCATGGGAGGTATTTTCAAATGCATTGAAGGATGATTATTTTTTAGAGGATACTGATCAAATTACCAAGAAATCATCCTTGAAATGGAATGAATGACCTAACAAAAATTTGCAAGGTATAGAACTGTTAAGAAAAGTTCAAAGGTAATTTTTTTAATTATCAAAAATAGAAAAATTAACATTCGAATCAAACAAGGTTGAATTTTTTCTTCAAGTTATTGATGGAGAATTATAAGAGAAGTTAGAGGTTCTTTTTAAAGACAAAGAAGAAGATGAAGGATAGACAATAAAGTCGATGGCTATTAAAGATGCTATTAGATTACTTGCCAAAAAGAAAAGAAAAAATGATAGGTTTGGTACTCAAAGAGTGGTACAAGTACAAAAGACCCCAAGGCCTACTACACAATTGACTGTGCCTATTGTCCAACCTCCATTAACTATATCAAAAAAAAAACATATGAGACTTCAGGAGATTGTACGAGGGATGCAAAATCTTCAAATAAAACTTACAAGGCTTGAAGAAAAGTCTTCTAGAACAAGGTCAAAGGCTACTTTTAAACAAGGATATGTCAAAAGATTTATTTGGTATGATGATGATTCTCATTTTTAAAAAAATTGTAGTGAATTGGTGTCAAGGACAAGAACTCGATGAAAAAACAATTCAAACAAGTGAGCATTCACTCAAAGAGAGGTAACAAAATATATATAAACAAGTATATATATTGAAAGAGAAACTGGAATGGCTATTGCCAAAAGACAAGAAAACTAGAGACCCTTGAAATAGACTAGAAGCAAGAAACGAATTGACAAGAGTGAAGAAGCCTTCACTCTTGTCTCTATATATACTATCTAACTAAGAGCTACGTGGCGACATTCTATAAGACCTCCAATATGTGTTGACTTTGTAGGGCACATGCCTTGACTTACAAGGCAAGTTTTTCTACGTGCGGACCACATAGTTAGCTTGATCTTTAACCTAACAACATGTGTGGCACATGGCCAACTTGTTGACCACGTTTCTAATCCAAAAAGTCAATTAAAGATACCTATGAAGTCAAAGCAGCGTCTAGGAAGTTTTTTGGAAGCTTCCATATTAAATATTATAGAATTAATTTATTTTTATCTACTTTTATTTACTTCTACCTATTTCTATATGTAATTATTAGCTTACATGATTATGGCCGTGACATTATCCCCCCTTCTAGGGACGAGTTCCACGAGGAGCGGTCATCATATGTTGAGAAAATCTATGATGCGACGAATTGTATTCGCCACATACTCTGATCTTTGTTCTCTTCGAAGATGATTGATAGGGCCTCTCAACCATCGGTAGTGTCCCATACCAGGGCGGGAAGACCACCCAGTTATTTGATCATTGTTGAGGCCTTTGTAACTTCCTTCGAATAGAATATTTGGAACACCATCAGGAGTTGTTCCTACCTCTAGCAAAATCACCAAACATCGAGAGTCCCTTCCCAAATCGTGATATCAAACGCATTGTATCTCACCATCTATTCGAGGAAGAACATGTCGTTCTTGAAGATCTTCATCTCGATTGCGTCGCCTTGAAGGTTGTGACAATCGTAATGTCTCGTCCGGCAGGTCAGCAAATGAAGGCTCTTGAGTTAAATCCATTGGTTGTTGGTTCTCCATCTCCTGAGCGCCACTACTACAACGAAGCTACGAACAAGAATTGAAAGTAGAATGTTATCTTGCCTAGATGTTCTTTCTTTTATAAAGAAGGTTTTCATCTTGATTTTGATGGATGTCGTCGATGAAAAGCCTCCACCGCCTTTGGTGCATTTACAAGATTCTTCATTGGCTCCCATGTGCATTCACTAATATCATATCCGCGCCAATGGACAAGATATTCTATTTTATTTCGACGCCGCCTTGAATCTAAGACTTCTTCTACTTC